CCCACTGCTCCTGACTTGGGCCCCGGAATTTGGGAGGAGTGGAGGTGCAGATGCCTCTACCCATGTGGTGTTCACGTGTCACACCCACACCCAGAAGTGGCCACAGCTCATCCATACTCCTGGTGATGACAAACCCTACCCAGGTCTCAGGACACCCACAGGTAGCCAGCCTTCTTTCTCCACAGCATTCATCCCCCTCAGACACCTCCCAACACCTCGCCCTCTGTGGGCAGCCCGCACACGCCCCCAGCCCTGCACACACGAACACGTATATCCGCTTCTAACATGGGTGAGACTCATCCATCGCCCAGCCCAGCCGCACATGTGTGCCTGCTGCCGGTCACAGCCTCCCCGTTTAGGCAGAGCTGAGCCCACAGGAAGGAGGAGCTTCCCCCAAGTGAAGTGGGGGAGACTGGGCCTTCGAGGGGCAGCTGGGACTCGAGCAGCTGAGGGTGTTGTCTGTACCACCCCAGAGACAAAGGCTCACCCCAGCGGCCAGCTTGAATGGAAGCAGGCAAACAGGGCAGCCAGGCCCTGGCCTAACAGCTTAGAAGAGGGTCCTGGTTGCTCCCTGGAAGCCGTCCCGAAGAAGAAGGAGCGCCCAAGCCTTCCTTCACCTCTCACGGGCTTCGGCCGCCCTCAGCGTAGACTCTCACTCCTGCTAAGGCTCTGCTCCCTCCTCCTGTAAGCTACGTGCCCTTCAGGCAGGTGCTCTCCTACACACTCATGCGCAGGTAACTGTGAGTGGCCAGCTTGGCCAAGCTGTTTGGAGCTGGGGATCCTGTCATCTGCCTGTAGTTTCAGCGTTCACTCTCCAGTTACCTGCACACACCAGCTCCCTTACACAGCATACAGCCAACATTGCTCACGCACTGCTTACGCCCATCGCGGGGGCAATCTCACTCCTTTCCCTCGCATTGCACAAACTTAGTTACACTTAGGCGCGCACACTGGCTCCACAACTGCCAATCCAGTTACACAGAGTGCAGCAGCACACACCCGGCCACCCCAGCTGCACATGCTCCGTTCCCATCCATCAGCTGCACATGCTCAGTCTCTCAGTTGCGCGCACTCACACTCACAAACTCACCCTGCTCATCCCCACGCAGCTTGCCACACACATTCCCAGCCCCAAGTCTCTCGAGGACGCTGTCGGGGAGAGGAGAGTGTGCTACTGACAGCAGCATAAAGGCTGAGAGTGCAGAGGTGGCCGAGCAAACCCTGGAGTGGGAACTGTCCTCCTTCCGAGGGAGGGACTGCCCTCCCGCGGGCACATTCCACAAGGCCAAGGAGCCTTCTCTACCTTCTCACCAGTCCCAGAGCAGGTCTGCCGGAGACTGGGCCTGTAGTCACACACAGAACCAGACTCTCCGGCTAGCCCGAGGGGAGGTCTCTGCCCCACCTCCATTCTGATGCACCAGCTCCCTGGCCCACTCATTCCATCCCCATCACCCAGTCCTACGCCCCACTCACGCCCACTGGGTGCCCCGCGTGCGCCTCCTTTCCGGAGCAGCAGCCTTCTACCTTCTGGCTCTCCTGGCTCTGGCCCATTTAGGGCCCCCTCCCTTTCCCGACAAGCCTTGCAGCCCCTGACCCGACCCACCTTTGCCCCTGATCTGTCCTCTCCCCTTACTTTCTGGGGCTCCCTAATACCCCCTCCTAGGCAGGTGCATGCCCACCTGAATGTTGGCACAAACCGCTTTCTGGGCCCCAAGAAAGAGGTACTGTTTGTTGGAGGTGGGGTCCGCCCGGGTTGGGCGCGTGGGAGCGTGCAGGGCGGGTGAGGGACTGCGCGGCCCCAGCGGGCTCAGAAGGGTGGAGAGGAGGGGTCCCTGCAGCGACGGGCAGGGCGGAGGGGAGGCGTGCGGCCCCAGCCCGTCCCTTTCAGGGGGGACTCATGCATCAAACTTCAATTTTCCGGACGATTGAATTAGTGATTTTTTTTCTCCTGAACTAAAATACACTTAAGTCTTTGGGATTAATTACCACGTTCTGGTCCCCCAGACTGGAGTATTACTTATCGGAGCTGCGTCTGACACCGGCCCGACACCTCGTAAAATAAGGAACTGCGCCTCCCGGCCTCACCCGGCGCCGCCCGCCGGCCGCCGAGCCGGGCGGGCAGAGCTAGGCAGGCCCCAGGATCGT